TAAACTTAAAGGAGCAATGAACCTCTCAGGTGTACAGGTTTAATTTACATTATAGCATTTTATTTCAAAGCATGTTATATTGTTTTCATAGCCTGTTATACTGCTTCCTTAGCATGTTATGCTCTTCTTTCAGCATGTTAGTATTTTCTCTTTACTATACAGTGCATTGTTTCTTTTCTTTCACACAGCATGCTTAGTTACTTTGATACACTATGTTTTAGTTTAAGATAACCTAGTGGTTAGGAGCATGTTCAAAAACTAAAACTAAATCAGGAGGTGTTACTACGAGGAGTTTGGAGCAAACATCGTGGGCAGCTCGACGAGGAACAATTTTCGGGTGGATCTGCAGCAACGAAACATCTTCACATCACATGAACACATTTACATCACCTATTATTATCTTTAGTTTAAATAACAACCCATAGGATCTCTTCTTTAGGCTTTTTGCACAACTCTGTTGTGTAATTATAAGTCCTAACGTTTTAGGATTCCGAGGTTGCCGTATGGTACAGTGTAAATCCTCCTATCTTTTTAGGCTATTTGCACAGTATGACGTTGTGCAAACATAACTCCTAAATCTTAAATAATTTGCAGGATTGAAATATCAAATAACCATCACTTCAAAGACATAAAACCAAACATTAGGATAGTTGAGACATCTCCGGGGTTTCTCCTGGATCTGTGATATCCCCTACTTTTCTTCCCTTTGGATTCCTTAAATAATTGCTCCTATTTTGAATCTTTCCCATTTGATTTTCCTATGTCCAACCGTGAAAACCTAAACTTTGAAATCTTGAAAACAAAACCATCTGATTTTAATCGAGAGTTTTCTTAAATGACTTCCAGTTATTTAAGATATAATTAACTATAGGGGCTTGCCTTATAGGGAACCAGGAACCCAGATAAAATAAACCTTATCTAATCCTCGTATTAGGTAGGAAAACTTGTCGGCAAATAAGACAATTTCACAGACCAAACGGAAGTCACAAATTCTTTAGTTTAGATGATTGAATCCTTATTACAAGTGATATTTATCCTTCGGGATAAGTGTTTTACCCGTAGTATTGTATTTAATCATCTAAACTACTTAAAATGTGGGACCCGTTTGGTTTCACCTATTTTAAATTAAAATGTTGCTTTGAAAAATAAAAAAAATGGTTATATTCATATTTCAATTATTTTTAAAATCACAAAAATTATTACCTTTTTTTCAAATCATAAAGTTATTTGAAGTTATAAAGTTAAACTAAATAAAAGATTTTTAAAAGAAGATAAAAAAAAATGGCCGACAGTGGTATGCATGGAAATATTGCAAGGTGATTTTTGGTTGTTTTCCTGTTTCGAATGGTAGCATATGGGAGTTCTTCTGGATTCAATATTTTTGTTGCCTTCACTATTTTTTGGTTGTTTACACCACCTGTTATATCAAACTTTGGGTGTTAGATTTGTAAATACATAAGTATGTTTGCTGTTTAAGCATGTTTAGAAATGATTGTTTTTCAATATGCTGGAATTATATGGGTTTTTTGAATGTCAGTTGGGAGAAAAATATTTATGGGTGTTTATTGTGAGTTGATGGGGCTTTTGCTGCAGTGGAATATTTGGAAATTTGTTAAGCATGTTAACAATGAGAATTTTTAAGGAGTTCATGAGTTTGAACATCCAAGTTGCTATATATTTTATGCTTCAGATTCTTTGGGGCACACTGTTTAATTTGAGTTATTTTATGCATACTTCGAACATCCAAGTTGTGTCTAATGCTGCCGTCACAGGAGTTTTTGGTTGTTGTATTTAAAAACAATGAATGTAAAACTGTTAGAGCAGTTTCTTGTGATGCAACATTATAGTTTTTATAAGAAGATGGGATTTTTGTCAAACCATTAGCCTTCAAATTTGGAACCTGTTGTGTCTAATGCTGCCTTCGGAGGAGTTTTATGGGTGTTTATTGTGAGTTGATGGGGCTTTTGCTCCAGTGGAATGATGATGCCTCTATTCTATTCTTTTCTGAAGCAATCTGGGGCTTTTGAAGTTAGATCTTTAAAAAGTCTTTCTGTTTTACATTCGATGCAGGAAACTGTTTTATTGTAGTAGCATTTTGGTTGTTGAGTTAAGGAGGTGCTTTATATTGAGGGCAATCATTGTTTATTGTGAGTTGATGGGGCTTTTGCTCCAGTGGAATATTTGGAAATTTAGAATGCCTGCTGGAGGAATGATGATGCCTCTATTCTATTCTTTTCTGAAGCAATTTGGGGCTTCTGAAGTTAGATCTTTGTACAGTCAGGTTCAGGATACTGTATTGATCCTGAATTTTATACTTATGGCTTTGAAATTTCTTGTTGAAAACATCTATTTCGGATGTGGTTCCTGAAACTGTTTTACTGTAGTAGCATTTTGGTTGTTGAGTCAATGAGGTGCTTATATTGACGGCAACCATTGTTTATCTACATATTTCAGAAAACAGTTGTGTGGTATGAAATGGCTTGAATGAAGTTCCAGCAGTTGGTTTCCTGGGTTCTCCATATTAAACGAGGCTTGTTGGTACCCTTCACTGCTTTTTGGTTGTTTTCCTGTTATGTAGCTTTCCTTGTTTCATCTGGCAACAAAATTTATGATATCTTAAATTCTGTTTTCCATGCATTTATTTGTGTCAAGTTCTGTAAATAGACGAGGCTTGTTAGTTTGCATAAGCTGAGGCTCATATGTGCAATGAGTTTCTGATTATTGGAAGGCATGATGAGTGGGAGAGATGTTTTATTAATATAATGTCAAGGAAGTACATTGGTTGCTTCAATTGCTACGCAGAAAAGGCGGTTAGGGACTGGAATAGCTGATATGTATCCATTTTATTTATGCACTATATTGTTATTTTCTTTTCTCTGATGATAGGTATCACGCCTTTGAAATTAGAATTCTCTGTTTCAGTAGCAAAAAACTTGCTTTTTGGTTTAAAAAATGTATAATTGACAGGAACATGGAATGTCAATGAGTTCTCTGTTTCAGTGGCAAAAAGATTGCTTTTTGGTTTAAGAAATGTATAATGGACAGATAGATTTGTTTGGCTTTCAAAATTTATTCTGAAAATGGTTCTCTTATTTTTATGAATGCTGCAGATGCAAATATTAGAGAATACTTTGATTATCATTTCTTCTGGTTGGATGGATCATGAAAATGCAAATATATATTTTCGGTGCACTTTTTTATGGTATCTCTAAATTCATCTATTGGTTGGGGATTTGCATGCCCACTAATGCTTTGAATACCTTATGTGATTTGTTATATGCCAATTTTAGAGAAAACTTAGCATCAAGCTTTATTTTTCTTCCATTGTTTTTCTTTTCTCTCATCTCCATGGCAACACTATTGTTGCTAATATTTGATGGTTATATTTCAATTGTTTTGTACAACACTTCTTTGAGAAATCACTATTGCACTACTCGTATCTCATTAATTTTTGTTGCTAAAACTTTTTGGCATGACTTTATGAAGGGAAAAAATTGCAAAATGAAGGGAAAAAATTGCAAATAACTAAACTTATCTGTTTCGTCTGAAGGAATAACCTGTTAATTGAAGAATGAAAATCTTATGCTATTCATGTTTCTGTTTTCAGGTTTCCATAGAGTTTATGAATAGAATCATAGGGAGAATATGCATTGAGTGAAAGCCTTGCTCCAGAGTCATGTTGTGTTTTGTGCAGATTTTAGTAACTGTACTTTTCAATGTGTTTGTATTACTCTCGTTAAGTTAAAAACCAGTTAAGTGATAGACTGATTACTAGATTGAGCTTGATATCAACATGCTTGCCAATTATGTCGTAGGCCTTGATATCAGTACTCATGGTTTGTTTTTTTTTTTATTATTAAAGATTTACATGCATACCACTCAATTCCTATGTTTTTTATGTGATATGATAGATTTGGGTGGTATAATTGTAAAAACAAGTTCAGTTAGATATGTAAATACATAAGAATTGGGTGGAATGTATGTAAATGCCACCCTTTTTATAATACATAAGAATTGATTTATTTTGTCAATCCATATGGTAAGGTGATAAAAATGTAAATACATACGAATTGATTTGCAGAGATGAAATAGCTTGAGTATGTCCCTGCTTTCATATAAACTTTCTCGATCCCTTAAAAAAATTGGTCATTACGGTATCCTGCTTAGAGCTGTTTTAGATGTGAGAAATCTATGTACATTAGAACTGTGTGCTATGTAAATGTTGCTTCATTTAAAAGAAGTTTACGAGTGTATATGTTGTTTGAACTTATCTTAACACTCATATTCTGGATTGGAAAGATGGCTTTAGATTAAAGAGTTATTAATGTTAGTTTTGGCTTGGGTATACATTTTTCCCTTAATAAATGGCTGTTGTTGTTCATTCCAATTGCTAGTTATTTTCCTTAATGTTGTTGCCGCTTCCTTGCAATTCTATAGCTGCTGCCTACACTGTTGTTCGCAGTGCTGTCCTCTTTTCTTGGCCGAGTGTAGAATATATAAGAATACATCTGATGTTCTGAATTTGCTACACGGAGAAATCAGGTTGTCAATTTTTGTCCTGTAATTGGGAAGGCCCAAACTGCCATCCTTCATGTGAAAAGAGTTTCTGACATCCACGCCGAAATTACTTTTAAATTTAATTCTTATGTATTTACATATTTAACACCTAAGCTTTCATTTTTTTTACTTTTCCATGTGCCATGGCGATTAAGCAGCTCGGATGACCCATGACTTCAAGGGCAACCATCGCTTTAAAGATGAGCAGCTGATAGTTTATACTTTATCTTGAGTTAAAATGAATAAGATTCACAATCTCTGAAAGTCATAAATATTTTCGACTTCAAGGGCAACCATCGCTTTAAAGATGAGCAGTTGATAGTTTATACTTTATCTTGAGTTAAAATGAATGAGATTCACAATCTCTGAAAGTCATAAATATTTTTGTGCCATAAATCTGTCCGACTTGACAACATTATGTATGGTTATAATTTCTGTTGGATCTTAATGCATGTTGTACACTGTTGTATATCATTTTCCTCAATTTTTGGACTGATCTAATTCTTATTTTAATAACTGTAGGACGATGAGTTCCAGATATTCAGGAAAGTCCGAAAAAGTGATGTGTTGGTGCGGACTGTGCGGACTACCATCCTTGCTACTCACGTCACGCCAGGCACATAGCATCGGAAAACAATTTTACAGGTGCCTGAGACTTGCTACTCACGTCACGCCAGACACATAGCTTCGGAAAACAATTTTACAGGTGCCCGAGACTATTTCTATGATATCCCAAAAGGACACCCTAGATCGGAGTTCGTCGATATCAACATTTCAGAACACTGTATCTGGTTCGAGTGCTTCCATTTCTACGGTATCCCAGTCGGACAGATTTGTTCAGGATTCTGGAGTGTCAGAGTCAGGTGGCATGGGTCGTGATATGCTGCTACATTATAAAGTTAACATTATCATATTTTTACTTGTCATTTTAACATGTTATTTTTTTATTTTTATGGACTCTCATTATACTTTTGTAGTAGTATGTGCAGGTGCATTTGACTTTTGTATGTGTTAACATATTCGTTTGATGTGATCAGATATGTTTTAGTTATATAAATATAAATCAACTTTTTGGTATTTTTTTGTCTGACCAGTGATCTTTAATTTTGTTAAGAAAAGAACAAATTCTGCTGCACAGATTATTCATTTAATTAAAAATTTTTTTTCAAATAAGTTGTTTACAAAACGCAATAACCAAACAGCTAAACAGCTTATTCAGAATAGGGCCAGAATGATCAATTTTTCAGAATCAGTTGTTTTCCATAAGCAAAAATCAAACAACCAGACAGCTTATCCGGATCAGCTGCTCATCAGCAGATTATCAGGATAAGCTGCTTATCAGCAGAAGTTTGATAAGCTGCAGCTGCCCCAAACATGCCCTTAATGGTCAAATGAACTCTAAATTTGACATATTTATAGTCAAATAGAGCGTCTTGACAAGAAGAATCTAGTGAGCCCAATATTACTCAATTTTTCTAAATGCACTTAAATCATTAAAAATCCCTACGATCAAGAGAGATCAATATTGATCATTTGATCAACTGGTTGGGAAAATTATTCGTTAAAAGTTTAAAATGCTCCAGACTATTAATAGACCCTCTCTCTTCACATGAGAGGAGAGGGAGAAGGAGAATAATTCTAGTGCTCGTTTAGACTGAAGACTCGAAGATAACTTCTATCAATATAGTTGCCGACCACTGTTGACCACCGCCCGTCGACCATCGTTGATCACCACTCGTCGACCACGATCGAACATACTTGGTCGTCCTTCCTTCTCGTTGTCGACCTCCTGCTGTAGGTGAGACCTATTTGTAAATGTCTTATCCAAAATATGGTTATAACGTTTTACGCTCATATTTAAAACCCAATGATAACTTCCAATATTCATAGCTGTCAATCATTGTCAACACATGTTGTCATCGACCATCGGCTAGTGACAACTACTTATGACTGTTGTAGTCAGAATACAACGATTGTTCCTAACGCATGTATTTTTCTGTACTTTGTATACCAACAAATGTTGTCTAATGTAAAATAATTACCCCGCTCTTTCAATTATGATAAAATTGTGTACCTTTGTACTTACACACATATAGTGGATTGCGTTGACTGGGCTAGGCCCCATGGTTTTTCCCTTCCTAGGTTTTTCCATGTAACAAATCTTGGTATCTCCTCCTGTTATTTTTCTACTAATTATGTTTGTGTTTGATCTTCGTGCAATACTAAGAAATACGATTATCATTCAAACACTATGAATTTTCAGACACACAATAGTTTGACATCATCTATGAAAAATTAAGTCCCGTCAATAGAAGTCTGCACTTTATCAAAGACTAATAAGTGCAATACAACAACTTTTTCATTCTAATACCCACTATTTTAGGGCACAATATCGAAGTGTAGGACACAAAGCCTCTTGTTCATTTCCTGATAATATCGATCACATAGCTGGCAAAGGAATCTCTCTTCCACCTCTTGAAGATTGTGTACTAAGGATAGAGGAG